AAATTATTGTTACAAATTATGAAAGTATTCCTTCTTATATAAAAAAAAAAAATGTTCCGCATATTTTAAGAAACCCCAGTAAGTACAAGTTAAAGTTTAAGTTACAGTGGCGGCCTCATAGGAGGGGCGTCACAATTTTTCTGGTATTCATGAGAGAATCAATAGGTTTATAAGTTTTATTTTTCGGTATTCCAATTGAATCAATGGATTTTTTCGGTATTCTACACGAATCAACGGATAATAGGAATTTATCCCTTTTTCCTTATTTTTCAGCATTCCACGTGAATCAACAGATCACAAGATTCGTTCTATGCTTCCACTACGTCATTTGGTATTCGTCACAATTTTTCTGGTATTCATGAGAGAATCAATAGGTTTATAAGTTTTATTTTTCGGTATTCCAATTGAATCAATGGATTTTTTCGGTATTCTACACGAATCAACGGATAATAGGAATTTATCCCTTTTTCCTTATTTTTCAGCATTCCACGTGAATCAACAGATCACAAGATTCGTTCTATGCTTCCACTACGTCATTTGGTATCAGAGCTAAAATGCTCCTATATCAATTTCACCACATTACGAGATTAGAATTTCTTATGCCTAGATGGAGGTTTTGGTTTCCCATCTGGCTGTATCTCTGTTGGCTGAACATATGGTCGAGAAGCCACCTTGGTTGTCTAGTCCATTTGTCTTTCAAGAGCTGAAAAGTCTCAATCATATGATGAAAACATCATACATGGTGCTGCATCTGAAGTGCATGGATGAATCCTCAGGTATGTTTTTGAAAGCCCATGGACTATCTGGATCATCTAGATGATATTGTCTTCTGGTTGTTTGAGACTGAGGCTTGCAAACTCCTTTCTTCTTTCTTCTTCTCTGCTTGGGCAATCATCTTCTTCATCATCTTCATGGTACATCCAACAATCACAATCTGGGTCACGCATAGAGGGATCATAATTCCATTTGAAATGACCATCAATCATGTTGGTGTAGATCTTAAACCCGTCTATTTTGAAGCTATCGACATGGATGTCTTCTTCTATAGACACTGGCCTAATCATTATGGATTGGAAGACTTCTAGTGTTTTACTAGGACCTTCATCAGGATGTTTGAAGATAGTTTTTATCTTTCTGTCTTCAAATTGAATGAAGGTTAGATCAAATGTATGGATGGGTTTGTTGTTCTGGAGTAACTTTTCGTAGTTGGTGAACCACTCTAAGGGCATGAGCTTTGTCATCTCTTCTCGGGAGAGTTGCCTAGGAATCTGCAAAATGGTCGGCACTTCATTTTCTATTTCTGCCGTGATAAGCAGAGTATCTAGGGTATGGCCTGAAACTAGGAGGTCAAATGCATGGTTCTGAAGTCTATAGATAATCTGATGATGGAGTGTGGCTATGTACGAGGATGGAATCTGTTCTGCACAAGAAATTTAGAGTTGGACTTTGAGACATGTGGACAAGTGTGGGTCCTTCAGTAGGATATTAAAGTTTGGGAAATGGACAAAGTGGTTCCTATTACTGCATGTTTGTACTTAGTATATCTAGTATCTAGAAGTACTAAGCGAGCAATGACAGGTAATCCTTTTCCACTATAGAGGGTTAGGATGAGCCTGATTGCTCTGAAATGGAGATGAGTATGACCTTCAGTAACCCATCGAGAAATGAGCTCCTTTGGAATTTCAAGATTAATGTATTGTTTTTGAGTTGTGCTGGGAACAAGACATTTATCCAATCTGGAGGACTGAATGTATTCTTTTATGACAGGTCTAAAATTGGTGATACGTTGTCTAATATTACGACGGTGTCTCCTAAAAACATTATATGGATTTAACAAAGGATGGACTGACTCTTGAACTATGGCAGTTTCAGGAATGTGGGAATATTCTACTAGGTTTTCTATTTTAGAGGCAAGGGATTTTTTATAGGAGTCGGGAATAGTAATGGATGATGATAACCTGACTGGTTCTAAGAGCAGAGATGTTTTCTGGGTTGTATCCATGTGTGTGTGGTGTCCTCTCTTACTCTTCTTCCTTCCTCACCTCTATATCATAATATTCTACAACGTAAACATGAAGTAGTACTGCTTAGGCAACACATATCTAACATTGATCACGCCCTTTAATGGAATAAATTAAGATCCCTTAGATTATACAATAGAAGAAACTAAAAATTTTCAGCGCAACAGTTTGTGCAAGTACAGACGCCAAAGCCTATTTATTCTCGAAAGTTTGCCACAAGAGAAAATCTTGACCATGACCATTTGATTTCGTTGAACATGTTTCCAGCACCTGCAGTCCAGTTAAAAGTCAATTTGTGTGTCTACTAATCTGGGCAGAAAAATTATAAGCAAAAGCAGCGAAAATTATGCAACAATACCTGATATATTTTATTTGGTTCCTCCTTGTCTTTGACCTCTGTTCTCAAAGCTAATATAAGCATTTCTGATATCTTGTAGCTCCCGGATAACATCTCCCATGTTCATTCTTTCGTTTGGGGATTCTTTTGAACATGAAATTCCAATCTCCAACACTGAAACCAAGCAATTATGCAGATGATTGCTGATCTGATTTCCTAACCCTTCTTCAATCTCTATCTCCATGCCTCCCATATTGTTGTTGTCGTTTTTCCTTGCATCTAATTCTCTTTTCATCATTGCATTTTGTTCTGCTTCTATAGCGAAAAGAGAAGAGTCCACTATTTCCACAAGTCTTTCTGGCAAGGCTGTCCTAACGAAGTTTCGAAGATTGTAATCATCTTTGAACATTTCATCGGTGGGTCTCTTTCCAGTGAACATCTCCAATACAAGGATGCCATAACTATATACATCACCCTCTCTTGATGGCCCTCCACCCATTCCATACTCTACAATTTGTAATAGCAATACATTTATGAGGTATAAAGTACTGATTAAGAGGTAAAATTTCAATTCTGGAGATTTCAATCCCTCTGCGAGAGTAAAAAATAGACATAAATATATGGAAGTGTTTATGCAACAAACACCTGATTCTATTTGGGTATATCTCAAGCCTAGTCTCTCACAAAAAGTCATGTCATTGCTTAGCTGATCATGTTCAAGGGATCGTTTATTCATTACCTTTCTTTTAAATGAAAAATATTGATTAGTTGATTGAATCCTTTTCTTTTGCACACGTTTGGGAATGATGTTTTTTTATTATTGAATAAAATGGCAATAATATACATATCTAGGAAAAGCTTAAATGAATCAAGTACTTATTAAAAGTTGTTACCTCGAGCGACATAGCCAATTGTTCCCTTCATTCCAGTTGTGCTAGTTTGAGCATTCGAGAAGCTGGTTGTGTTTGAGATCAACCTTGCTAATCCGAAATCAGTTACATGGGCAACCATTTCATTGTCAAGAAGAACATTGCTAGGCTTCAAGTCACAGTGAACGATCGGCTGGTCACAATCTTCATGAAGATAGTGAATTACAGAAGCCACATCGATTGCGATATTCAGTCTTTGAAGTAGGTTCAAACGTGTCGAGTGGTTTTCATCATTATTCATTGGATGCAACCACTTATCAAGGCTTCCATTGGACATATACTCAAAGACTAGAGCCTTGAATTCATTGCCGTTGTAATCTATGCTAGAGCAACAAGTCAAGATCTTAACAAGATTTCGGTGCCTAACACTTTGTAATGCATTACATTCAGCAATGAAACTCTTGTCAGCTCCTTTTTGCTGGAGATTGAGAACCTTCACAGCAATTGGATTTTCTTTCTGATCAAGAATGCCTTTATATACAGAGCCGAAGCTACCACTTCCAATCAACATGCTCGGAGAGAATCCATTGGTAGCTTGAAAAAGCTTCTCGTACGAAATTTTCAAAAGAACACTCTGTTTTGGGTCTTCGACACTTGTTTTCCTTTGAGATGATCTCCTTAAATGCAAAATAATGCAAGTACTTGTGGAGAGAAGGAAAAATGCTACCGCCAAAACTATTACGATTGTTAGTTTGAGGCCATTGATTTCCCTCTTTTCAGACTTCTTTCTGGGGCATGCTTGAAGATGCAACTTTGGTACACCTCCACAAAGCTTACTATTTCCAACTAATGAGACAGCACTTATGTTCTCAAATACACCTTCATGTGGCACTTCCCCCACAAAATCATTAAAAGAAAGATTCAAGTACAACAGAATACGAAGTTTCTGTAAATCCTTTGGAATTTCTCCTGTCAAGTTATTACGTGAAAAATCCAAGTACCGAACACCTTTCAAAGAAGCCAAAGTAGTAGGCAGGATTTCCTGAAAGAAATTCCCTTGCAGATAAAGGGAGTCCAAAACCTGACAATCACCAATGGTTTCTGGGATTTTACCGGTCAAATTGTTTTCAGAAAGGTCGAGTGTATTGAGATTTCTTAGCTTGCCCACTTCTGCTGGTAGGTTGCCAGTCAAGAAGTTTTTTGACAAGTTGAGCTGGATGGATGAAGAAAGAAATAAAAAAATTTCTTTGGGTATTTCTCCAGTCAATCTATTGTTTGAAATGGCAACGAATTGCAGATTATGACAATTGGCAATTTTCGTGGGAATACTCCCTTCTAGCCTGTTGTGTGATAGATCAAGATTAAACAATTGGGTAAGGTTCCCTATGGATGAGGGGATTTTTCCTGATAGCATGTTCCTCCCCAAAGACAAAAACCGCAAATTTTTTAGCTTCCCTAAAGATGTAGGGATGACACCGGTGAGAAGGTTAGATTCAAGGCTCAACATGATTAAATTGGCAAGATTTTCTATGGCGGAAAGATTATTACTGGATATTTGATTGCCTCCGAGATAAAGTCGGTTGAGTTTTGAGAAATTTGCTACAGAGTATGGTAAAACACCTCTAAACTTGTTGACACTAAGGGCCAATAGTTCCATCTGGCTACAATTTGTCAAAGGTGTAATGAAATCCAAACTGTTTGGCAAATAACTGCCTAGGCTATTGCCGCCCAAACTAAGATGCCGCAATTCTCGTAGAGCCCCTAAACTTGATGGAACTTGGCCTACAAAATTATTTTCAGCCAATTGAAGGCGTTGAAGCCGGGAAGCATTGGAAAATGATGAAGGGATCATTCCAGAGAATTTGTTACCGCCCATATAAACAATTTGGAGATTAGAGAGTGTGAGGCCGATTGTGAGAGGAAGAGTGCCTTCTAATTGGTTATTTGTGATTGAGATCTCCACCATGGCGGATATATTGTAAAAGGACCGGGGGAATGTACCAGATAAGGAGTTAGGCCCTATTGAAAAAATAGTTAAGCTTTTCAATGTCCCTAACTCGTCAGGAACACTTCCAAAGAGATTGTTATTGCCTACAAAAAACTTTCCAAGTGATGAAATGTTTCCCAAGGAAGGTGGGATACCTCCTGTGAGATTGTTTTTTTCAAGATTAAGAAAACGAAGCTCCGCCAAAGATCCAAGCTCGTGAGGAATCAATCCAATAAGTCTGTTTTTGCCGATACTTATCGCCCTAACTTTCGAGCAATAGCTTAAGTTAACGGGGATTTTACCTTCCAACATGTTGTCATACAAATAGAGATATTGCAGGCGGAACAAACGACCGACTTGCTTTGGGATTTCGCCGAGAAAGTTGTTATTTGTGAGGTCAAGGGCCCTCAGGAAAGAGAGGTTCCCACCATAAGGTGATATGGTTCCTCGCAAGTCATAGTCGCTTAGGTTCAGGGTTGTTACCCTCTGACGGCGGCGGCTGCAAGCGATTCCAGGCCAGCTACAGAAGTGAATGGAGTCATTCCACATGTTCAGGATTCCGTGTGGATCGTTGGAGATCGATTCTTTGAATTTGAGCAAAGCAATCCTATCAGTGTGATTTCCTAACGCGCTTGCAATTGTACTGTAATTCGGCTGCAATAAGCTCAGAGAGTGGAGAAGCATGACATGGAGGAACAAGAACCAAAATGCGGATGGGCTAGTGGGGTTTCGGAGTTTCATTCTGGTGATGGCCATGAGTAAAAGAGGGAGAGTAATTATAGGATACTCAAATGTTGTATATATGAAGATTAGAATATGATTATCAAAAAAAATATCCGGACTTCACGCTCTCTTTTTCTCCGAGTCTTTGCAGTAGTTGATCGTTGGAAAACAGAGAGGATAATAGTCAAGTGAATTTAACAAGTAAGGGCCACCATGTCTGTCAATGATGACAACCTTATAAGACTGGGGAACGGTCCCCATTAATTTATGAATTGGTAGATTTTCATAAATGTCGCTATTAAATCTACTTTATTTCAGAAATTTTAATACGCCAACATTCAACAGTTTACTCACTCAATCCCATGGGAATGGATCTGGGGTCAATGGTTCATTTATAGATCTGACACAAAACTGATAAAACATTTCTTGTCTGACTGAATAGGAAACGTCGATGTGCAAGAACACGACTTGTTTACTTATATTTGTACAGTTAATTACTTAATTTGATACTAATCACTTGACTTGTTCTGACTTGGCATCTTCCTTGAATTGTTAATTAATTATTTTATGGATTCATTTGTCAAGTCCGATCCGATCTGTAATTAGTGCAGCAGATTAGTTCCTTAAACCAAACTGTCGATTTTTAATATTTCTTTTTATGCATACAGGAAACATGAAGTTACAAATTTGATTATTTGTGCTGATGAGGATTATATTTTTGTTGTGGTGAAGCAAATTAAAATGAGAACATTTATGCATTCTACTCCCCTGCTTTCTTCCCTATAATTATTTCTTTACTTTGACATATAATTATCTAATCTCTTTTGTGTGGGAATAGAAACATTAAGAATGTAATAATATATGATTAACAGTTTTACAGGAAGGGATTGTTTGTGCCTTGTATTTCAAGTCATCTTCAGGAGAATTAGAAAAAGTTTTGTAATAAGTAGATATTTGTTTAACCCAACATTTCTTAACAAAGAAGCTTAATCTTAACTTAAATAGCTAAGTATAATGATAATCATCTCTAGTAGTATTTATTTTTTCAATTAACTCTTCTACAATCCCTACGAATTTCACCATTAGTCCCTGTTATGGCCCCTATACTTCCCATTTTCAGCATGGAACTTTGAAAGTCCTCAAAAAACACAAAGGGGTCTTGTGCATATGTTGTCACAATGTCACGAGCTTGGTCATCTCCAGTCACAAGAACCTGGTCAGAAGGAAGCAACCCCTCTCCAGAGACGAGGTTGATGTAGTATTGGTTGTCGAATGTCGCAGGCGTCACTAGGTCCAACTGTGCTAGAACATTGTTGCCACCACTAGCACTGGTTGACACCGAGCATAGCTGTTGAAGTGATTCGATGAAGGCTGGTGGAGATGAGGCGGCTGCTGCTGAGCCTTGTAGTCGAGCGCTAAAGGTTGAGCAGCGGGCCATTCCCATTGTGTGTGCACCTTCCAATTAAGCCACAACAGGATTAGCATTTTTCTCTGTTCCTTTATATATTGTGCATAAAGAGCATAAGAATTGGGTGATGGGGTAAAGAAATTATCAAATATTGTGCAATTATAAACCATCATATCTTTATTAAATTTCGTTATATTTTCATATTTATTGAGTCTAATATGATTTGGATTAGGCAGTATTTATTTATCATATATATGTAAGAGTCCTTATATTTGTTAAAGCAGTTATATAGTACCAGATAGAGCAACCAAGTCTTTGAGATTAAGGCCTAAATTCTCAAACTTGGAGAGAAGTTGTGAGAAAGTAGAATTTGGGCCTGGGATGTTGTTGTTTGCTGCTGTTTTGCTAGCACTCAAGCTGTCCCTCCTTCCCATTTGGACTTCCCAACTTGGTCCACCAGACTACATGAATTAGAGAAGTCAATAAATAACAAAACCCCTTAACAATAACTACACTTAATTTGGGATCACAAGAAACAAAAAATAATAATAATAATAAATAAATAAATAATGTCAATCATCAACATCACTGATTTTTCAAAAAGTTGAAGATTGACATGTAAAATTGTGGGTGTTGTGTCATAATTTGCAGGTTTATAGTGAATTTTGTGACTATTAAAAAAAAAAAAAAAAAAAAAAAGTGTGGCACTGATAAGCTCAAGAAAAATAGAGCTCACTAGAAAGACAGAGTCCCTAGCAGCTATGGCAAGAATATCAGCGCAGGAGACAGTTTCGGGGCAGAAAGTCTCAAGCTCCGATTTTATGGCGTCAATGACTTCGAAGCCCCTTAGAGAGTTCAAGTTTGGCGCCGCGGTTTTCTCACCAACAAAAGAGTTTGTGTCATCTAATAAAACAGATCCATCACATCCCTGCATATTACACAACACGCTCATTAATAAGTTACCATGGACATAATGTATAGAGTTCGAGATTATTATATTTAAGAAATAAGATAATTTGATAGAAACTAATTAAGGGGACATGCATTAACAAAGCAATCATGGAAATGGAGACGAAGTAAGGAAGCAGCCATTCTAGAATCTTCCATGACTGCTTCTTGGATCCAAGAGAAGATTATGTCCTCAACTTCTGGACAAACATCTTTGTACACATCAAACCTTAACACTCCACTAGTACTAGTACTATGATCATCATAATCACCATATGATCCATCACTCTTTGCTTTTGGCAACGTAATAACAAGATTAAGCAAAATCAAGAAAAGAGTAAGGAACTTCATATTGGCCATCTTCTTTCTTAATTGCCACTAATTAATCACTCTAGTCTTCGATTATATGCGAATATTATGAGTATTTGAAAGCTTATGATGTTGTGTATTTATAGTTGTGTTCTTGGGCCAACTATTGGCAATATGGGGTTTAGAACTTGTCAATTTTGATGATGGAAAGAGTGGTTGAAAAGAAGAGAGAAGGCTTGGTCAAGCTGTATGTAATATGTTACCTAATGCCATGTGATATTGGCAGTTCACTTCTCTTTTGTGTGTTGCAGAGTAATGTGAAAACGTTCATAAAACCAACAAATTTTGGGGCATCAAGCAAAAGAAAAAAAAGAAATAAATCTGACTTGAATTTATTTATTTATTTTATTTTTGACACATATTATCACCAAAGTTTCAATTAAATAATGAGTAAATAACTCAGGTAGAAAATGGTATAAAGGGATGTGATTGAAAGTGAGAAAATTGAATGGAGAGAAACATGTTTTTTTTTTCTTTTTTTTTTTTTTTCAATTTGATTTGTAACAATGTTAACGACATTTGCTATGCTAGTGCACATGTTACTGACGTGATCGTATCATCTTTCTTTCTTTTATTCTTTTTCTTCATGGGATAATTTTAATTTTTGTTCAAAAAGAATAAATGTGATTTTTCAAAAATAAGAACTTCTGAATCAAAATAATTATTTATATATTTAATGGACAGAAAAACTTTTGTACCTACTATATGAACTAGTTTGAAAGTACAGGCTAAAATTTAGAATTACAACAAAGTAGAATGCGTCCAGAGCTTGTTTTGATCAAGTTTTTACTTCTTCTTCAGTATTTTTGATAAAAATACAAGAGAAATTTTCCCTTAATTTTCTTCCTTTTCTTAGAAAATGGGCCTATTATTTAGGGCATCCAAGCCCAGACAAACTGTGCTTTGGGCCTTCGAACAGGTTTGTAGTCCGTTACTTAAGTTGGGCCTATCCCAGCCCAAGAAAAGCAAACGACGAGCCAATGTTGTCGTTCTGTTCTGCCTCCATCCAACGAAAGCCCTGAACTGAAAAAACCCTTCGTCTCTCTCCCTCTCTCTCTCTCTCTCTCTCACTCCCGAGCTTTTGGTCTCAGACAAAAATGGCTTCTTCTTCTTCATCGTCTTCGCCTGTGGTTACAGAGAGAAGAGGAATACCAGGAGCTCAGTTCGTCGAAGATGTCCAGACTTATCTCACTCAATCTGGACTCGACGTCAACTCCGCCCTCGCTTTCCTCCAAGAAAGGTCTCTCTCTCTCTACTTTCTCTCTCATCTCTTTCGATTCTCTTCTTTTCTTGCTATGCAATACTTTCGCAAGTATTGGATTCTTCGGAATTTGTTTAAAAAAAACCTCTACTTTGATCAGTAGATTTGACTAAATACTCTATACTGCAGTTTTTTTTTTTTTTAAATGGAAACTATGTCTGAGATTTGTGGATTAATGGTTTTGGTCTTTTGCATATTCGTCTTCGCAATATCGAAATGTGTTTTAGCTGAATTAGGAAAATGTGGTTTTAGATCGAATTAAAAAGAGCTCTTAGTGGAGGAAATCAATTTTTTTAATTAGGGCTAAATACTGGAATTTACATATATTTAGTAGTGTTTGCTTGATGTATTGGATCTCAGCTTGATATCTTGCGAATTACCGAAGTTTGCATGTGTTAATTAATTAGGTGATAATCTCGGCTAGTGTGAGTTTTAGTCGAAAATGATAGTCCTTAACGACTATTATTAACTTTTAATTAGGGATAAATACTGTAATGTTTTCGTCTCTCTCTGGTTTGAGCATCTAATTAATAATATGCAGGAGTTGATCCTGTAGATGAAATACAAGTAAGAGAAAGTTGAAATGTGGACCTGTTTTTAGTTGAAGTTGAAGTTGGTTTTTTTACTTTTTAGTTACATTTCTTGTGCAGGCTTCAGCAGTACAAGGTAGTTGAGATGAAACTTCTTGCTCAACAAAGGGATCTTCAGGTTTTCTCAACTAATCTTTCTCGTCTTGTTGCAAATTGGAATTGAGTTTTTCTTTTCTTTTTTTTTTTAATTAATTTTCTATGACAAAAACTTCCTTGATTGATACCTAAAATAGCATTGAGAAAAAAACGGAACTGAAATATTAAAACTGATCAAATCCTATCCAAAAATTCACAACAACTAATCACCCCATTATGCCTTTCCAATTCAAAACCATTAAAGAGAAGGCAGAGTCTTTGAAGGCTTTGTCGGTCGAGGCCCACAAGGAAGCTGAGTGCTTCGCTTTTTCAAAGGAATCCACAGTCTTAATCTCTCTATCTTCAAAAATCCTACCATTTATTTACTACCAATGGTCCGTGAAAAACGGAACTAAAATATTAAAACTGATCAAATCCTATCCAAAAATTCACAACAACTAATCACCCCATTATGCCTTTCCAATTCAAAACCATTAAAGAGAAGGCAGTCTTTGAAGGCTTTGTCAGTCGAGGCCCCCAAGGAAGCTGAGTGCTTCGCTTTTTCAAAGGAAACAGTCTTAATCTCTCTATCTTCAAAAGTCCTACCATTTATTTACTACCAATGGTCCGTGCTCTGTACATATATTGCCATGCCCACAGGTGCACTAGTTTTATTGACCAATTCTCGAGCTGTTAATAGATTGTGCACTAAAAGGATAATAGACTTTGGAAAACAGCAGAGGCAAAAAAAGGATAATGGACTGAAAGTTTTTGACAAAATTGGAATATAATAGATTGTGCACTAAAAGCTTACTGTGTGTACTGGAATATGTCACCTAAAACGTTGGTTAGAATGACAGGACCTTTTTTTTCTCAGCCGTTCATATTACATTGGCATGGTGTTATAATTGTAAAAAAAGTTCATCTTAGTTGAGCTTGATACTGTCGAGTTTTTCACTTTGTGGCTAAAAAATTAACATCATTAAGGTGATTTTAGGGCCCGTTTGTTACATGGGTTTGAACAGAAATTTAAATTTTGTGAGAGTAAACACTGTAGTAAAAAGGTTTGAATAGGAATTCAAACCTATGAAACAAACGGGGCATTAGTATTTCTACATTGAGCCTTAACACGTTTAATAATTGCTCTAGTCCTGTTTGGTAAGTACAAACTTACAAAACTTCTTAATATTTTTCTCCTTTCGGGTTATTCGTACTATCCACGAAACACGGCTCAGACTTAGCATCATTAAGGTGATTTTAGTTTTTCTACATTGAGCCTTGACATGTTTATAATTGCTCTAGTCTTGTTTGATAAGTACAAAATTACGAAACTTTTTAATATTTTTCTCCATTCTGGTTATTCTTACTATCCACGAAACACTCCATTAAGATGATTCGTGTTTTAGTATATAATCACGTTTTTCCCGTGTCTGGTTATTGATGTTGAACCGTGCTCCCTTTTTTCTCCTTTCTTTTAATCTGATTTACAGGCAAAAATCCCTGATATTGAGAAGTGCTTGGATGTGGTTGCAACTCTACAAGCTAAGAAGGGCACTGGTGAGGTTCGTCTTTGTTGTTTTCTAGGAATTAGCAGTTTGTATACCAATGTTCCATTTGCAGAAGTCATTTCACATGAGTTTTCATGCTTTCTTGTGTTAGACATAATAACTTCTATTCCTTTTTTGCCAGGATGCATGCTTAGTTTAAAGCCTGGGCTATATGTTTCTTTGTGGCTTTTTTGATACGCCAATAATATAGAATTGAATAGCTTCTGTCCTTATGCTGCTTAGGGAAGTATTATCATGTTGTAGATGCATAACGTAGAGTCCGTTTGATTCATGGATTATAACTATAAGATTAGAATCATTCTTGATTTACGTGTGTTTTTTGTGAGAGAAAATACTGTAACGAACCATGAACCATGATTCGAATCAGAAAACAAATCCTCTAACCAAACGGGCTCGTAGTCTACAGAATGTGAAGGATGCCAACTATCTTACGTGCTTTTATTCACAGGTTACAGCAATGAAGCATGTCCCCCTTTTTTTTTTTTTTTCTTTTTTGGCTATCTGAATCCATAATAATAATCATACTAAAGACTAAGTAGCTTACCACTTTTATTGCTCTCTGCTTGGAACATATTAGAAAATTGCTATAACATGTCAGGGATTGTTTCGAACTAAAGACATGTTTGTGCTGTTCGATTATCTAATTGAAATGCTCACAAGGGCTTCAAAATGTCATTTTTTTTTCAGTTGTTGCTTAAGTCCTTGTTCTATTTTGAGGGGAAAAAATTATTTCAAATGTTTGTAACTTGTAAGTAGTAATTAAGTCTGTTTTCCTTGGCTCCAGGCACTTATTGCTGATTTTGAAGTCTCAGAAGGCATATACTCACGGGCCCGTATTGAGGATACTGACTCAATTTGCTTATGGCTTGGAGCAAACGTCATGTTGGAGTATTCTTGTGAAGAGGTGCATTAATCTTTTTCTTCTAAAAACGCTATTGAATAGCTTCTTTGAAATTAACAAGACAAGCTCAAAGTTCTCGTATAACTATCTGGTGCAGGCCACTACTCTTCTACAAAAGAATTTAGATAATGCTAAAGCCAGTTTAGAAGTACTTGTGGGTGATTTACAATTCTTGCGGGATCAAGTGACAATTACCCAGGTAACTTTTGGCAAACTGATTCTTTTTCCCCCTTTTTTTCCTTGAACAACAATTACTGTAGCTCTAGTGCTCTTGCAAATGAACCACGTTGTTCATTGTGCATCTTCCTGACGATAGCACAATAATGTGAAATGCTAGGAGCACCGGTAGTGCCGAACACAGCATAAAGTGGGTCCTACAAGATGGGGCCCACCTTCTTAGTTGTGGTGTTCAGCACTGACCCCGTGCATTTTTTGCGCAATAATAATATGGCTGAGCTGAAGAAGCATTGGGGTTTATTGACTCCAAATGTGTGACCATCCAAAATACATTTAGTCCTATAGGGTACTCCAAATATGTTGGAGAAGTTCCACTCATTGACTTTTGGAGAACCTTTATGCAGGTCACAATTGCTCGTGTGTATAATTGGGACGTTCATCAACGTAGACTTAGACAAGCTGCCGGTGATGTAAAAGACTCGTGAGATTAATTTACCCCACCTTGATGAAAAGATGGTAGAAGATGTCTTTAGCTGAGAATATGGTTCCAAATGGTCAATACTTCTTCCAAGGTGATTGGATTATCGTCCTATATTTTTGTGCATTATATATACTCGTTAGGCGTTCGTTGCCCAAATGCGCCCATAATTGAAGTTTCTGTTTCTGAGGCCCTTCTGCTATGGAAGAAACTTGTTATACTCTTAGGACCAATTTTGTTATCTTTCTCTTGTAACATCTTAAATCGCTCCAATTTTATGATGGATTGACGTGTGTTGTGTGCCATTTAGTGATGTTTCTTTACTTAATTTTCGTAGTCTTGATCCAGTTTCTTGTGTGCCTACCAACTAAAAGTTTGCCTTGTTTACATTTTAAATCCGAGATAGTGGAGAAAATTGGGACCCAAAAGTAACTTAGATATGAAACAGATGTGTCGGCAAAACTTGGCCAAATGCAGAGACAAGGCATCAAAATCACTAGGTCTCTAAATGATGTCAGGCAGTCCCATCTTATCCCTCCTCAAAAGGGTTGTAGATCTGGATTGTTTCTGATATAATAGTGCAGTCGTTAGTCAGAAATGACATGATGTTAACGTTTGAATTGTAATATGAAGTCAACCAAGGACATGATTCCATTTTTGAAGTAAAAAGGCTGTTGGCAGCCACTGAAATATTATGGGGGAGAAAAAAATAATAATGAACAATTATTTAACAGTTGGGAAGATTCACGATTGAATGATAATAATTCACTCTCTTTTTTCTTTTTTTCTTTTTTTTCCTTCTTTTCAGGTGGATAGGCCTCTATTATCGTGTTAACAACGTTTCTGTTTTTTTTTTTTTTTAATATTGTCGACTTCACGCATGGAGTTTGCTTGTAGAAGGAATTAAGCTCATTTGATCATTCTTTTTTGGATTTTTAGTTCAAGTTTTTTTTTTTTTTTTTTTTTTTTTTTTTTTTTTTTGACTGTGTTCCATCAAGTTGGTGGGGTTATACTCGGTTCATGTGTCCAACAGCCTTTCTAGCCTTGGCATCCAAGTTGAATCATGAAATGGGCTGTTCTTATCAGCCTAGGTTTTCACAAAGAGCATCTTATAGCATGTCGGTGTCTAAAAAGTCAAAAGAATTGCCAGTTTTCACTTCTTCATTTTGCCCTCAAGTGTATGTTGTGACAAACATGAATTCTGGTCCCAAAGAAAATGCTCTCTCTACTTTATTGGTTTCGTGTGAAATGCTGTATTTAGGTTTGTTTCTCGAGCTTTTGTATCTTAGTAGCTGTCTCTATGAGTAGCTTTCGGAAGAAAATGGTGAAGAAGACCTTTAGCGACATTTGAATCTTGCAGTCTAGAGGACTAAGTTAACCTATTTCCTTAGGACGGTTGAGAACAAAAACCAATTCCCCTTTTGTTCCGGAAGAGTTCTTTGAAGGGATTAAAAATAAAGGAATTCATCCATCAATACTGTGCAATTCTAAATCCATGGGGTGTCGGTTGGAATAGTCAGGCCTTTGATTTGCTCACACAAACTCTGGGCATCCTACGTGACAAGTCATTGCTTCCTGCATTCAAAGATTGTTGTGTTTGGCAGAAGGCTCCTGTTTCTAATTAGAACTCACAAACTGGGTTCGTGGGATTTCCCAATATTAAGAAAAAAAAATACTGGGCAATTCTAAACCCGTCATATATTCATATTTTTATAGTTTTTTTTTTGGATATTGACGCGATCTAACTGTACAAGAACAACTAATACTAATAAGATTTTTCTAACCCTACCACAAGATCCTTCTCTGTTTTGTGCGCCTCTAAAAGTTTTGAATGATCTCCTTTTCAGCTTGATTTGTGTAGAATGTTACATACAAAGCAATGGGGTCCTACATTTGTTCGCGGACCATATAGTTTAGACACCTTGATCCACCATAACCACTCACGGAGCTTTCTTCTAAGATACGAACATTGATTAATTGATTTGGTCATGGTCAAGATTCCATGTCCATTGCCGAACCAAGTTAAGAGGGAGCTAGCTAATAGTGATATTTGAAAGTCCCTTTTTGTTCCTGTTTCTGGTTGACCTTCTCAAGAAGGACCCATTTTATTTAATGATAGTTGATAATATCCCTCTTGGTTCTCAGCTCTTGCATGTGATTTTCTAGTCCCAGATTACAGAAAATCTCTCGCATTCTAAGCTTAGAAGATGGCCCATCACATTTTTAATTACAAATGGCGTTTTGGCTTTGGTTAACCTTGTGGTTAATGATGATCTAATAATATGGGACTGCCTCTTGCTAATCCCTTTTCATTCACGGATTTAGATTTAGGCTTTTCTTTTTTCATGCCCAAAATCCAATAAATTCATAGTCCTATAAATTATACATATACATTCATATGACAAAGGGCCTTTAGCAGAAAAGCACAAAAAAAAAAAAAAAAAAAAAAAAAAGGAAGTTACAAAATGGTTTTACAAATTACAGTGAAAATAAAGGAAGCATTATTCATTGCCTTGTCTGCCTCCATTGAAAAGATGAAATATGATGCTATAAGAAAAAAAGTTACTGTCCCTCTTTACTACACCAAAAATGAAAAGGCACAACCCATCTTTTTACATCCCATGCAATCATGGCCCCAGAAAGCAGAACCCAAAAATCACTAATTTTTATAGAGACGTGCACGCAATCCCAGGCTGATTTGTCCTCTCTCTCTCTCTCTCTCTCTCTCTCTCTCTCTCTCTCTCTTACAATCGAAATCCTTTTTGTCCATTTGTGTTATACGCGTTTTTGCTTTGCATTGCACCCAACATTGTTTATTTAAGTGAATAAAGAAGTTTGTTGACTTTGACTGATTATGCCCTAATATTCTATAAATGAGGCCCTAATATTCTATAAATGAGGCCCTAAAATGGACTCTACCGTATGTGATTAATTTAAACAAATGTATAATGTTTGTTTATCTTTAATAAAGTATATATAATGATTCTATTTATTTTGTTCACGTTATAAGAATAACTTCAAATTGCCGCAATTAACGGTGAAGTGTTCTCACTCGTCAATCTTCTAGAAAAGTGAAAAAGTCAGCGGCTTGAGGTTTGGTATTCGGACCCATTCATACTAACATAACATGTCTCTCTCTCTCTCTCTCTCTCTCTCTCTCTCTCTCTCTCTCTAAAGTAATTATCTTTTTTATCAGCTTTCTTCTGTGAATAGTTTTTTTTTATTGGGGCTATGCTTGTTTTGTCTTAAAATATGAAAAAGTTTCAAACGGTAATAGATAATGTTATGCTCCCATTCTCTCTCTCTCTCTCTCTCTCTCTCTCTCTCTCTATATATATATATATATATATAAGGTTTGTAACTTCGGTTTAAAGAATACCTCTCATCGCATATAAATAAAAAGACAATACAAATTACATCAATTTACGCCCACACACAGTCTTTTTATTACAAGAAACATGACTTCTCACTAATGCCTACTCAGTCCTCATGCATCTCTTTCATAATGTCTGTGACACCTAATAATAATCACCCTATAATATAATTATATGTTCTTGAGAACCGTTTTGGTAAGCTTAAAGAATAATACTAATATAAGGTCCGAATTAATGGCTCGACATCCTTGTGATGTCTGGATCAACTACCTTTTCGTTGTATAATTAATGTTTTTTTTTTTCTCTTTGGTCAAAGACAGTTAGGTTGACTATATGTTAAGACCCAAAGACCATAGTCTAGAAGGAGAGAGAGAGAGAGAGAGAGAGAGAGAGAGAGAGTTCTTGTGAGATATTATATTGCCTTTGTGCCTAAGGATAAGTCCATGGTCTTAGAGTTGGTGGTAAAGTATAGCTATATGTTGTATAGTCATACACCATATATATAAATCAAAAGAAAATCTTTGAGGAATCTTGTTTAAGCAATAAAAAAAAAATTAAAAAAAAATGAGAGAAGGAATAATTTGTTGTTGCCTCCTTGAATCTAATATATATCTTTCTTTCCTTTATACATAAATGATCGAAAGCTGCAAGTTCAGTTCACTACCGCCATTAGTGGATGATGTCAACATATATATATATATATATATTAATCTAGAACAAGAATCATATGTATAGACATAATTTTGTCACATCCATATATAGCACCATGTATATACACGAACATATTATATACATCATTATGAATAAATATATAGAATGGGGTTTGAATAAACAAATCAGGGTTTTGCTCCTAGGAAATTAATCTAAAAATCCATGCCATAATTTGATCTCATGTTTTTATATTTCAAAATGTGAACGGGGTTCAAATATAAACTAGTTTATTCGGCATAAGCGTTGACGAAATAAGATGGTCTTCACATTAGATGTACATAACATCCTTCTGGACATACGTAGAAAATGATTATTCCCTCTGTAATATTTATATATATATATATATTAAAAGTGGTATGGAAACATTAAAAATTTAAAATAACACGTCACATTTTAATGTTTGATATCATATAAATGGAATATTGGATTTCGGTAAAATATTGAATCAATAATTCATCTTGGAAATATGTTAAGAGTGTGTTTGGAAGGTATACACGAATCATTATTTTTTATTCTGACGTTTGAAATTTAAATTTTTTATGAGAAAAACACCGTAGTTTGAGTATACAAGGCCCCTTTTGGTATAAGGGTTATAGAACACCATAGTTCTAGTTCAAATCAGTGTTTATTTGTAAAAAGTAAAAAGTGGTTTGAACTTAGCTCAATAAAACCAGTTTTTAGTTTGGATGGTTCTGATTCAAAGTTTGAACCCTGATGTGATGTTTTAAACCACATCTATCCTAAAAGTTAAAACCATCTCCCCCCTTGGTTTTGGCTGGTGCAAACTTCAAACCTCAGGTTCAAACTTTTGGTTCCCCAAAAATTCATGGTTTGAACCCCAAAAAGTTCAAATCATGAATCATGATTATGGTTTCAAAACCAAAATCATCATGATTTAAATCCTCATACTAAATGGACCCTAAAATAAACGAGTATTTTTTGTTTTAGTTAAGTGTGAAACCAAAAAATATGTGCTTTACATTATATTTTAATAATTTATTTATGTATGTGGTGGGAAGATTTATATATACCCTCAGAATATTTCTGTCAAACCATGTCTAAAATGAAGTGACTATGTCGTCAGAATATTTCTCTTATATTAACAATGTAGAACTGGTGATAAAAGGAATCAATCCTTATATTAACAATGTCATCAGAATATTTTTCCTCCTTATAGATAAAATAAATATTTGAACCCAATCCTCGTAAATTCCCAACAT